GGAAAATAGTTAACATTGGCGTCCTCTGGAGAAAGGAAAAGGGGGACTGAGGGTCAAGAGTCAGAAAGAGGCTTTTTCACTATGCCTCTTTTTGGACTATTTGGATTCTTTTATTTATTTATTTATTTATTTATATATTTATTTTACCGTGGATGTATGTTACCTTTTCTAAAACACAAAGATCAATTTTTAATAAATAACACAAAGATCAATTTGAATCTCCTTGAGACTTCCCCAGCTTTTCAGATGTTTGTCAGTTTGAATAACATTTGATGGAGCTTGCATTTCACTACAGAACATCTGAATTCCCTGCATCCAGCTGTATTTCACTCATGACAATGTACTCTAGTGTAATAGCTCAGCGGTTTTGCCATGAAGTGGTACACTTGTGAAGGAGAGTGTGTGAGAAAGGCCAAAAGAAAGAGAAAAAATTGATCAAAGCCTATTCTTATGGTTATTTTGGCTTAGGTTTTTAAAAAATTTCTGTTTACAAAACAATACTTTGTGTTAGTTTGCTGGGGCTCTCTTAAAATACCCCAAACTAGGTGGCTTAAAATTTGTTGTCTCATAGTTCTGAAAGCTAGAAGTCCTAAGTCAAGGCATCAACAGGATTGGTCCTTTCTGAGGGATGCGAGAGAGAGTCTGTTCCAGGCCCCTCTCCTTGGCTTGCAGGTGACCATCATGTTCATGTGACATTCTTCCTGCTTGCAATTCTGTCTCCTAAATCCCCCTTTTTACAAAGGACATTGGTCATATTGGATTAGGGCCCACCCTAATGACCTCATTTTAACTTGGTAAAAATCCCATCTCCAAATGATGTCACATTCTGAGGTAGTACGGGTTAGGGCTTCAGCATATGAGTTTTGGGGACATGATTCAACCCATACACGCTGCTGTTAGACAACTCTCTTCACCATAGATAGCAGAGGCCAACTCTCGGCCCAAAGATCAGGACAAGGAAGGGGTGAGGCTGAAGGGGAGAGTAGAGAGGAAACCCAGTGCAGGAGGAGCCCCGTGGTCCGCCCTGAGTGACAGCGCTGCTCTCTCCTTTCCAGGTGGTACCATGCCAACCTCTCGCGCCACGCGGCCGAGGCTCTTCTCCTCTCCAACGGATGCGACGGTAGCTACCTTCTGAGGGACAGCAACGAGAGGACCGGGCTGTATTCTCTGTCTGTGAGGTAGGGTGCTTAAGGACTCTGTGAATTCAGCATGGGCCTGACACTTACTGACTTTATCATCACTCAAATTGCCAGACAACAAAACTCCCTGGCACCAGGTTAAAGGATTACAAACTCTTGATGGTGAGACTGTGCAAAACATACCTGCTCCATCCATCAGCAAGAAAAAAAGAAATGTTAGAGCTGGAGGAGACTTTAAGAATGATTTAATCCAAACCTTTGTCTAGACTGATGAAGAACTGGAAACCCAAAAGGTTAGAGTATCTGGCACCCAACAAGTCAAGGACAGAAACAGCACCAGAATCCAAATCCCTGCGTCCCGGGCCAGTGCACTTTTCACTATTCCTGGCTTCCTCTGGAAAATCAGAATGATTTTTGACTGCATAACTTTCATAGTCACAAATCCATTGAGCAATATGCAACTTTAAAATTTTTTCTATAAATGGGCTGACTTTCTTTCTCAGGCTCCATTTCCCCCAAATGGTAAGAAAGTTGCTCTAGCCCTTGCCAGGAGCACCCAGCCAAATGCAGCGACTGTCAAGTCCTTTCAGAATTTCTCTTTCCCACCCCTTTCTTCCTGGCTGGTTTCTTGGGTCACAGAGGCCATCTCACTCATAGTAATCAAGGGGGGTGGTCAGTTCTCTGTCACCATCTGACACTCTGACTTCCACTGACATGGAACAAGTCTTCTTGGGTTCTTGGGCAGTTAACGGATTAGGCTGAGGATGTGAGGACTGCATGAAATTTCCTTTGGCCACCCACCCGTTAACCTCAAACTGCTATTGGATTAGTGTTCTGATGGAACCTCCGTATACCCTGGAAGGAAGACCCAGGTTACCTTCATGGTGCAGTCCCTCAAACTAATCTGGCATAAGAAGGTTCTCTTTTCTCTCTCCTGCCCTACATGGTCCGGGCTCCTTGTCACTAACTCAGTAGCAGCATCTATACTCACTTCTCTTGTCTGAATCCTCTTTTTCCATCCAGCTCAGTGAACAGTCTTGGTTTGTTTGGGGTTTTTTTGTTTGTTTGTGTCTAATTTTCTCTCTCTCTGATAGAGGGACAAAATTGGCTGAGAAAGTATTTCCCTGAGTAATTGATGACAGGCTTCTGTGAGCTCAAAAGGCAAGAACTAACATATTTGCTTATCTTCTCTTTGGGCTTGGGGCCTTCTGTATTAATCTTCTATGCTACATAACAAATTACCAAAAATCTTAGTAGCTTAAAATAACATAAAATTGATCATCTCAGTTTCCGTACATCAGAAGTCCAGGTACAATGTGGCCAGATTCTCTGTTCAGGGTCCTACCTGGCTGAAATAAAGGTGTTGGCCAAAACAATGGCTCTTATCTGGGGTTCTGTGTCCTCTTCTTTAATTTCTCCCTTTTCTCTTCATTCTTTTTCATTCATTTCCCTGCTGCTGTAGAACTGAGGTCCCCATTTTCCTTTTACCTGTCAGCCCCGGGACCATTCTCAACTCCTGGAGATCACCTGCAATTCCTTGCCATGTGGCCGTCATAGGCAGTTCATAACCTGTTCACTTTCTTCCAGACTAGCCAGAACACGTCTCTCTGTTACCTTTTTCCATGAGCAGCCACAGAAAATTTTTATAGGGCTCATGTGATTATCTGGCCCACCCAGATAATCTCCTTATCTTATAGTCAATTGATTTGGGACGTTAATGATATGCAAAATCCTCTCACAGCAGCATCTAGATTCGTTTTTTTTTTTTTAAAGATGACCGGTAAGGGGATCTTAACCCTTGACTTGGTGTTGTCAGCACCACGCTCACCCAGTGAGCAACCGGCCATCCCTATATGGGATCCGAACCCGTGGCCTTGGTGTTATCAGCACCACACTCCCGAGTGAGCCACAGGCCGGCCCTAGATTCGTTTTTGATTAAATAATTGGGACACAGTATTTGTACTGCAGAAGGTGGAATTTTGAGGTCGTCTTAGAATGCTGCCTGTGACACCTTCCATTCCCCAGAATAGTGAGTCTACAGGCCTACCTGAAGAAGAGCGGGGAAATAGGTGGAGGGTGATGGGGTACCTAAGGGGGTTGCAGAGAGAAAAGCCATGTTCATTAACAGTTCTCATGTTACCATGCCATATTTTGTTTATAAGTTTTCTAAATAACATGGGTGGGAAAATTATTAATCCAAGATGGAATTCTGTTTGGGTGGCAGCAAGAACTGTGCTTTCTCTGATTGACAGCAAATGTTAAAAGTTCATCATGTTAAAAGATGCTTTATTGCATAGATCTTCCAAAAATCTCAAACAAACATGAACTTATTGGATCAAAGAATGTTAATTAACTTTTCACCTGTGTATGTTTCACTGAATAATTGTCATAAGCTCCTTATGAATAGATGGCATATACAATTCATCTATGTAAAAAATTCAAATATAAGCATTGACTAAATACCAGCAGAGATGACAGGAATCACAGACCATTTCAGAAGAATGAATATGCGTTTATTTGTTCATTCCCTTAATAATAAGTGTTTGAAAGCATCCATTCTATACCAGCCACTNGTTTATTTGTTCATTCCCTTAATAATAAGTGTTTGAAAGCATCCATTCTATACCAGCCACTTTGATAAGTGTTGTAGAACATTCAAAGACCTTGTTTTCAAGAAGTGTAGCCTCATATGGCCATTAAGACCATATACAAATAACTTACTGCACAGTAGAGTGCAGTAAATAACATAAAAGAAGGCAAGATAATTGTTTGTGTGGTTGATAAGAGAAAAAGCAATTAACTCAAGCTGGAATTATTATGTCATACTTGACAGAAGAGATGATATTTGAATTGAAACTTGATGGATAGCTGGGATTTTTATCAGCAGAGACAAGGGGTAAGATGTTGCAGGTGAAAGGAACAGGGAGAGCCAAGGGACAGCTGGAACAGAGCAGCAGCAGTTCTGAAGGTGTTGTCCCCAGACCAGCAGCATCACCTGTCAGCATATTAGGGATGCAAATTCTCAGGCCCCATGCCGGACCTACTGAATTGGAATCTGGCCATGGAGCTCAGCAATCTGCATTTGAACAAGCTCCCCAGATGATTGTGATGCATGCTGAGGTTGGAGTGTGGACTTCAGAGAGAGGGGTAGTGGGGGGTGAGGCTGGAAAGATAGGACGGGGTCAAATAAAGTGGTGGTATAGATATATTTTATTTACTACTCTGCCTCATTTAAAAAATGAAGTGGAAAATGACAAGGTAGGAAAGATGATATTTTATCCAGCAGGCAATAGAACAGACATAGGAGGAAAAGGGCAGGACTCATATAACTAAAGTGACAGAAGCAGAATTGTGACTGACCGCCAAACAAGCAAGAGAGGAGAGCCAGAATCGGAGAAGAATGTGGTAAGGGTATGTGCCAATTCTGTCATCTCTGTTCCCTGCCCTTCCTAAACACATGCCCCTTAGGAGGGTTCATGTGGAAGGACTCCTGCAGTAAGTCGAAGAGCAGGTAGGGAGAATCATCTCTTGTCTTCCATTAGAGGGAACAGTTGAAAAGAGCATACTCTGCCAAAAGAAGCTAGCCATGCACTTTAAAATGCCAGTGATTTCTTTTTTTTTTTTNAAAATCTTAGTAGCTTAAAATAACATAAAATTGATCATCTCAGTTTCCGTACATCAGAAGTCCAGGTACAATGTGGCCAGATTCTCTGTTCAGGGTCCTACCTGGCTGAAATAAAGGTGTTGGCCAAAACAATGGCTCTTATCTGGGGTTCTGTGTCCTCTTCTTTAATTTCTCCCTTTTCTCTTCGTTCTTTTTCATTCATTTCCCTGCTGCTGTAGAACTGAGGTCCCTGTTTTCCTTTTACCTGTCAGCCCCGGGACCATTCTCAACTCCTGGAGATCACCTGCAATTCCTTGCCATGTGGCCGTCATAGGCAGTTCATAACCTGTTCACTTTCTTCCAGACTAGCCAGAACACGTCTCTCTGTCACCTTTTTCCATGAGCAGCCACAGGAAATTTTTACAGGGCTCATGTGATTAGGTCAGGCCCACCCAGATAATCTCCTTATCTTATAGTCAATTGATTTGGGACGTTAATGATATGCAAAATCCTCTCACAGCAGCATCTAGATTCGTTTTTTTTTTTTTAAAGATGACCGGTAAGGGGATCTTAACCCTTGACTTGGTGTTGTCAGCACCACGCTCACCCAGTGAGCAACCGGCCATCCCTATATGGGATCCGAGCCCGTGGTCTTGGTGTTATCAGCACCGCACTCTCCCGAGTGAGCCACAGGCCGGCCCTAGATTCGTTTTTGATTAAATAATTGGGACACAGTACTTGTACTGCAGAAGGTGGAATTTTGAGGTCGTCTTAGAATGCTGCCTGTGACACCTTCCATTCCCCAGAATAGTGAGTCTAGGGGCCAGCCCGGTGGCGCACTGCTACAGTGCGCTGCTTGGGAAACGTGGCAGCGCTCCCGCCGAGGGTTCGGATCCCACATACAGACCGGCCGCTCACTGGCTGAGCGAGGTGCGGGGGCAACACCGAGGGTTGCGATCCGTTGCCGGTCACGAA